ACTTGTTTCGAGCAGAGTTAAGAAAATTAGAGAAAACATCAGAGGATGTGGAAAGGATCATCGCGATCGCTAAACAAGAAGTGTCGGAGGCAACTAAACACGTGATCACAAAGACGCGACAGCAAGAAAAGAAACTTTTAGAGTCCTTAGAAATGACACGTAGGAAGAGACTAGAGCGAGTTAACTCAGCTAAACAAGAACGTGAATCTCTGGTAAAACAAATAGAGCAAGCAGTTGAATTTGCGGAGAACCTGGTGCAGAAATCAGCTGCAAATATCATACAGAACAAAAACAAATTAAGGCAGAAACTTGAAGAGCTTCGTGGAGTTGAAGTTCCAAAACATCGCCAGGCTATATTTGTCAAATTTACTGCCGCATCGCAACACAACTTTAAACTGGGATCTATTCAGGTCTTCGAGAAGCCGGCAATCGTAGCCAAATCAACCATCGAAGGACTGAATCAAACTTTTCAGGCTAATGTACAGGCAAAGTTAACGTTGTGCCCACGGACATCTGGAGGAGAGATGAGTGACTACCCTGAAGATCAAGTCGAATTCCTCGTAACACCCGCCAAAGATGTGACAAACGTGACTGTTGATGAGGAATATGACGGAAATGTTAGGCTGAACTTTACTCCCAAAGTACCTGGGGCCTACAACATTGAAGTGAAGATTAATGGCGATAAACTACCGCCCTGTCCCATGACTGTGCAGGTAAAAGAACGTGAACTTGTCGTGGTCGGTGAGTTGAAGTTAAAGCTCTTTCCGGGGGACAAGCTTAGAGGGTTATTTGAAATTGCTGTGAATACAGAAGGCCAGATAGTTGTGACAGATAACCTTGGCAACTGTGTTTATGTCTTTGACAAAAATGGCAACTGTTTGAGAAAAATTGGAGGCAGGGGTAGTAACAAAGGATTATTTCAGCACCCCGTTGGCATTTCGTTTTTAAATGACAACGAGGTCCTTATTTCAGACTTCACAAATTGCAAAATACTACAACTAAATATTCAGACAGGAACTGTGGTGAAAAGTTTTGGAAAATTCGGTAAAGAAAAAGGAGAGCTAACTAATCCAGTATACGTTACTGTGGATGATGAAGAGCGCATTGTTGTAACCGAGAGTAGCAATCATAGGATACAGGTGATGTCAAAGGAAGGAAGATCTATTTTTACATTTGGAGACAAAGGCCCAGAGAAACTTGCACGGCCAACCTGCTGCATTTTTCACAAAAATATGTTTCTCGTATCTGATACAAGCAACCACTGCATAAAAGCTTTTGATCTGTCAGGAACATTCTTATACAAGTTTGGCGAACAAGGGGATCAACATGGACAATTTCGAAGGCCGCGTGGTTTGCTTGTAGACAGCTCCAATAATCTTCTAGTATGTGACACTGAAAATAAACGAGTTCAGCAGTTTTCTTTAGACGGTCGCTTCACCGGCAAATGTATCACTCCTTTACCTAAGCCTATGGCAATAACAAAAGCACCAGACGGGCGTATTCTTGTTACTAGCCATGATCAGAAAAAAGTGTACATTTTGAAATAGACTTTTTCAAAAGTGAACTTTGCTTCTTGAGCCGCTGCTTACCGGTGGTTTGTTTTATTTTTAATGCTGTTTTATCACTTGTCAGGAAGAACTCTTAGCGATAATATCTAGACTTACAATTACTCTTAGAGACAAAAACCTTTTGACTTGAAGTAATCAGCCCAGGTCTTGCAAGTTCGTCAATCTTGAGCCGTTTTAATCTTCTCCATCCCTCGCCTCTTGCCCATCCATGTATCTTAATTGATTGGTCAGGATAGATTAAGTGCGGGTATTTCAATCTAAGAAAATCTATCTTTAATGAAGCATTAATTCAAGAACAATTTATGATTGCATAATCTCACATGTTTTTTAAAATGGGCATCTACTAGGTAATTATGTCATAGTTAGAGGTGGCTACTGACTTTCCAATTAAGCTTATTTGTTAGTTCTAAACTGTTTTGAAAAATAGTCTTGCGTTTTATTCCATACTACAAAGCGAGACAAATTAGGAATGCATTGAATAAGTAAGACTTAAAAGTTATTTTCTGTTTGTTGTAATGAATGATTAGAAAATAAGTTTCAGTGTTAAATATAAATAACATTTTGCAATAAAGTTATTTAAAAAATTCACTCGGAAACATCCTTTCAAAAATTTCAAAATCATCAGTACCTTGGTTTCACTGGAAAATAAAAAAAGGTTATGTCCAGTTTATTTATACTTTTAAAAAAATTGGCTATCAGGAATGTAGCATTTTTTTCATCTCTTTAGATGTTTTGAGATGTGAAAGCTTTAAGTCACTTTCTGAAGCCTTTTCTATAGGCAGGTAAAATTTTTAATTGCTTTGGCAAGCTAAAAAGGAACTAAAATAACAAAACAAACCAACAACAACAAGCAAAAACAAAAAATAAATAAATGTGCCTAAATGTATTATCCATAAACATTTATTTACAGGGGCTACATCTTTTAACTTATAAGGCCCCTTAGTGTCACTAGCTTACAATGTTTCCTTACAGTATCACTGTTACATCAAACAATAAGGTCATCACCAGCTAAAGAAACTCTTGATTGTTAAGCAAATTCTCCTTGTCAGTACGTTAGGAAATATATAGAGAACAGTATGGAGAATATGCTTACTTATGTTAGGGTGTAATGGGTTAATAGGCTATGCACTGTGCATAGCGCAATAACCTTTTTTAAATTAGCTTCAAATGAACATACAAGTACGTTAGTCTTGTGCAAATAACTGGATGAAAGACAGACTATAGTTTGTAAATTTTGTTAGTTACCTGGCTGTTTTATTCAGTAGTACCTTCTGTCAACAGCAATTTTTGTTTGCACTTATAGTAGAAAGGCAGATCAAATTAAAAATAAGAGTATTTTTAAAAATTAATTGCCACAATATATGTACGTACAGTAGTCAAAACTTATCAGTGAATATAAGCCATATCAGAGGAATCAAAGCTTTAAAACAGTTGATACAAGTCAACTGCTCTTTTACATCAACATTTAACAATGATTACCATTATGAATTGCCAATTAGTGCACTTAAAAAAAACTGCAAAACAACAACAAAAAACCAACTATACTGAGTTTTCTCCTTATGCCAAAACAATTGATAATGGAAATCATAATAAAAACAATAATGACAATGATATTGATAATAATAATAATTATAATCATAATAATAATACTAATGACAGAAAATTAATAAAAAAAAAAAAAGAAAGAAAAACACCACCAACAACAAAAGTAAACAGACTAGAAAAAAAATTATATTCTTAATCACATCTGGTAATCTGCGAAATTCAGTGTGACATACCTCCCTGAAAAGATACATACTCTGTGCATTATTTGAAATTATATAATAAGCTGAATTATGCAAGTATTTTGATTGGTTCTTGCTCATGGTTCATGATTTATTGGAGAACAGATGCATGGATGGCCTCGCCATTAACAAACTTTTGCTTTGTCATCATAAAAAACAAATAAATTCCATGTTGCTGTTAGTCTGTATAAGAATAGATCACAGAAGACTTCAATATGTGGTAAGTACTTCAGTGACACACTTGACCGGGCCTCATGCGCCATTTGTTTAGTTTTCACCACATTTTGACCTCATCTGTGATATATTACTGGACAGAGCCCAGTTGTAAAAAGGGCAGATAACACTATCCAACAGAAAAATTGCCATCCAGCAGATAAGAGATAGCAAAACATACAGCATTATCCAGTGGATGGAAATTTATCCAGTAAATAGCATTACCTGACCTTTGAAAAACCAGAGCCAAATGTACAACAACATGGATGGGGGCCAGAAAGGAGTGCTCTTTGATTCATTAATGTGATGTCTCAACAAAAAAACCACAAAAGGTAATCGGATAAAGGCAAATATAATAACATTGGACCTAGAATTCAACACAACTCAAAAACCTTGGCTACAGGATTAACTAAGCCCTGATTGGTTTTACATATATAGTCATTTTACATCTGATTGGTTGAGCGGATGATATAAATTTTGTAGACCAATCAAATGGTTGGAAAAGAATTTTGTACACCAAGTGAAAATTGCTCCAACACCCATCCTGAGAGAGTGGCATAAAATTACTGATACAAACGGCAGATTTACCAGTGACTACAAAATTGTATTTAAAGACAGCATGAGCTTGATTACATTTCACAACATTCATGAACAAAAATTTTTGCAAAGTCTACTTCTTCTTCTTAAGATCTTCGAATCTCCTAGTAAGATCATCAAAGTCTACATCTTCACCGCCAGCACTGTTCCCCCCTGGAATACTGTCAGGCAAGTTTGGTAAATCTGTAGGTACTGCAGGAAGGTCTGGGAAACTGGGGCCTGATGAAGGGCGTGGTGCACTGGGAGCAGGAGGCTGATGAGGAGCTGAAAAAAGAGGCCGTGTGTGAGTGCTGAATCAAACATTGAGGTCATGAGAATAAAAAAAGAAATGATCATTCACTAAAGGAGCTCTTGACTGTTAAACAAATTCCTTTTGTCAGTACCGTAGGAAATGTATAGAGAACATTATGGAGAATATGAACCCTGACATTGGATGTAAGAGGTTAAGAGAATTTTGTGTCAAAGAAAACACCCTCTAGCAAATAATTTTGCCCTTCTGTTATCATTTCCTTCTGTGGCAATTGCTCCTGATATTATGAAAAAAGCAGCATGTTGAACAATTACAAGAGTTCAAGAGGCAAGGGCATACAATGTATCCCTACAAAATCAGGAGCAAGTCAGAATAGCCCATTTAATAATTGTGTGCTTAGTTGCCGAGTCTTTGAACAGAAGCAAGGCAAATAGGACTTTGTTAAGATACAAATGTTGCTCTTTCTCAAAAGTAAATTACTTTGTTATCATGGTAACTAGATACTGGTCTTTGTCACAACATTAGGTCACCTTATGCCTCACTCCAAATTAAAGGCTTGGCAACTAAGTACAAAAGTGTAATGTGATTTATACTAATTGCAAAACTGAAGAGAAATGCCAAGTTTTAGAAGGTCATCTAACTAAACATTACAAGAAACCAACATTGTCAATAGTCATACCTGGTGGAGAGGGGGCAGCATTGTGGTTGTTAAAAGGGCCCCCAGGGTAGGGAGGTAGCTTTTTTTCTGAGGGATAACTGGGTGGTACATCTGGTGGACCAGAGGGGTAGGGTGGGACATTTCCCTGTGGAGTAAAAAAGATGCAGCCATGTTAATATTATCATTTTCAAATTTAACAAATTGTATCAAATTATTTTGTAAATGTTGTGATATTTTGAGTGCCTTTCTTTCCTCAGTTGCATGACTGAGTACTATGCCTTGAGATGTTACCCCATCTTATGGTGAAAACCTCCAAAAGTGCTTACCATCAATATCAATCATAACAACCATATTTAGACTGGAGGCCCCAGCAATATTAACCCTTTCACTCCTGTGAATGACCAAGACAGAATTTCTCATTACCATATCAAGACAACATCAAGACAACATCAAGCAGATAAGTGACGAGATGGAATAAGTTGATCCAATACCAAATTCTCTGAACTAACATGATCATAAGAGTTGTATGACAGTAAGGAGAATTACTAAATGAGATCATGGGGGTGAAAGGGTTACAGTAAATCATGTAATATTGCACTAGGTGTCTTTTATATGTTGCAGAATTACATGGCACAGAAACAAAAGTGAAAAAGGCATTGCAGCCGTGAGGGTTCTCTCATTTTCAACAACTTTTTATAACCCAACACCAAAATTAAGAGTGACTAGTCTTCCTCTATCTGTGTTTTTAGTGACTTGTATATCAGGCCACAACATGTAAGCTAAATTTACATTACGCAGTTATGGTGTAACAACGACTTACATGTGTTGGTGGAGGGTATGCTGCATATCCCATGTTACCTCCTGTCATGGGTGGAATACTAGGCCCATTAAAGCCTGCTCCATAGCCCTCAAATCCAATGTGACCTCCTCCACCGCTAGAACCTCCTCCACTAGGTGGCCTTGGCTTGATGTCGTCATCAGGAGGTATCTGAGCTTCCTATTGAAAAAGATTTCAATAATTATTAATGTGATGTTTAACTTGTGCCACAATCACTCAATCATGATTCACTAGCCCAGGTATGGACTCCCATCCAGGGCGAGCGGTATGATGTTAGTAGCATGGATTGGGGCATAGCTGGAAAATCAGCTAGTGGCATTCAATTTAGCTAGTTGTGTAACTAATTGCATGGCTAGTGGCATAAGCTAACTACATGGCTAGTGGCATAAGCTAATTGCATGGCTAGTGGCATGGCTACTTGCATGGTGTGGTATCCCATCCTAGGGGGCATAGCATAATGCAAATGGCATAATGCTGAATTAACAGAAAAAAGCTCCTGCTGAATGAGCCACTTGGCTCCAGTCCATACTTAACCTTTTCCTTGTTTAACAGGAATTCATCACATTGGAGCTATTGCAAGTATCTACTTACTCCTAGCACTGATGGATCAGGTTCAAACTGTACACCATGACTGCGAGCAATCTCTATCAAATAATTTTCCACTAGTGTCTTTGGTGGTGGTCTAGGATCAAGTTTCAAGATGAGCTACAGATAAAAGAAAGTTCACAGAAAAATGTTTTAGATTTAAAACCTTTTATGATGGTAGAACTATATAGTTATATGGAACACCTGTGTCCAGTGAAACTTGTTGTCTATTTGCAGATTTCAGACAGCTACAGACTTCAGACTTCATTTATCTCAAACTAGAGCAGGAACACCATTCCAAAAACTTCATGACTGATATTATCAGTTGAAGTGTTACTTCACGATAATAACCAATTAAAACAAATGCTGTGCCCATACCATGCATTACTTGAATGATCAGTGCAGTTAAAAGATTGATATCACATAAATAGGGTTGAACAATGTACACTGATTCCAGAACTGATAATACATTGGACTTAATCTCATTCCAAAAACAGCAATGTATGCACAACCACATGATGACATTACACACTGAACAGACACCCACTCCACACCGTTCCTAGAATCAATAGGTATCTGTAGTTTTCAGCTAGTGTACTGTGTCTAGTCAATCTGTCATAGTTTAAAGCCACACTATAATTTAGTGAGCAATTTTTCATGTTTATCTTTTATTTAATATGGTTTAAGGAATACAGGACATTTTGCACAAAAGACTTTTCTCACAAGTCTTTTAGCACAAGTTTTGGACCGTTTGCACAATTCTTAGTGGTCATTTTGCACAATAATTATAAGTGAGAAACATCAATATAAAAAGGTATACTAATTGATACTGATAAGACATTTCACCTTCACATGTCACTTGCAATAAGGTCCAATGGTGAGAACGTAGACATTTATTTATGTAATAACTTCAACTAAATCGAAACGCTTGTGAACACGATCACTATTCTTACTTGAAGAAAGGAACAAATCTTTCTCTGTATGAAAATGTAAAGAACTCCCTATTCGAATGATTACTTCTTTTACTTTTCCTTTGTTAAATGAAAAACCTTTTAGTTTTGACAGTACATCATCCACTACAAACATACGAACACGATGAACCAACGCTAAGGACACCACGTTGATTTCAAAAGTAATTGTCACCAATCCTCCCTCCTCTGAAGTCAAAGTAAAAAACCTGCAAACTGTTTCACTTTGTATTTGAAAGGAGAAAAGACCTATTTACAAAATTTCTGTGTAAATATATAATATGACGCTTATCGATCGATACTGAACTCTCCATCACTCATGTAATTGTTATTTGAATAATTTGAAAGGTTACTACTTGGTAGATGTATTAAACTTTACGATCTTTAAAATGATTACAGATCGAGCTTGTCTTTCTACAAGATCACTAGTTACTACCTACACTGACACATTCAAGTTGTCAAATCACGACACTTGCGGGTGCTGACCTTCGATGTGAATCACTCTCTGAATATCGAGTTATTAACTTTGAACTGTTTTTGCTGTACGTATTACCAGTATGCCTAATTTTCATTATATAACGAAGATATAAGAAGCAAGTTTTCAATAGCTTTATTTGAAACTCTTACAGATTGATAAAACATGCTATTTGAAGGCGACCTTTACAAGGAGGGAAGACTGGTGACAATTACTTTCGAAATAAACATGGTGTCCTTAGCATGGGTCGTCATGTTTGCATGTTAACTTTGTAGTGGATGATACTGTAAACACTAAAAGGTTTTTCGTGCAACAAAGGAAAATTTATAGAGGTAGTCATTTGAATAGGGAGTTCTTTACATTTTCATGGAGAGAGAGATTTGTACCTTTCCTTTCTTCAAGTAAGAATAGTGATCATGTTCACAAGCATTTTGATCTAGTTGAAGTTATTATGTAAATGTCTATGTTCTCGCCATTGGATCTTGTGAGGGTAAAATGTCTTATCAGTATCAATCAGTATACCTATTATATTGATGTTTCTCACTTATGATTATTGTGTGAAATGACCACTAAGAATTGTGCGAACAGTCCGAAACTTGTGCTAAAAGACTTGTGCAAAAAGTCTTTTGTGCGAAATGTCCAGTTACCATTTCGAAAGGAAATTAGTTAAAATCCAGTATAAATAAACTTAGAGTGTAAAAGCTATCAGGAATAATGTCAAATTACAGTCAAGTTAACACTCACTCTTTGATTCACTGTACTATTGGCATTGATCGCAGCTTCATGTCCAAACTTTTTGCCATATTTCAGTCCTAGCTGGTCAGAGATCTGCATGAAATGACAAAAACCAATAAATTAAATCAATTGAATGATAATTTGCAAATGATGCAAACAATTAATTTATAAATTAATTTTATCCAAGAATACAAAATGTTGTCCTTCACTACCACTGTAACTCTTTCTTCAGTCATCATCATTATTGTTAGTAATAATTATTCATAATACAGTAATTTTATTTTATTTTCTTTTTAAATGTTGTGCATCCATCTCAGTGATATTGAATTTTAATGTGAGTCTTCGAGAAATTGAGGCAAAACAGTCACTGCAATAAATTTGGGAATCGAGGTATGTCCAGAAATGCATGCAGTAATAAAAATGGTGAAAATTCACCAAAATCTTCAAATCCATGAAAATTCATTCACTTTGACAAAATTTCCTCAAATCTATTATTTTCGTGACTGCATGCATTTCTGGACAAAAGTGGGCAATTAGGAGAGAAAGGGCAGACATGTTATCCAAATTCAAATATCTTAAGATTTTAGATTTACAGGTTTGCATCAGTGTTATATAGTACCATACAAGAAAATAATTTGTGATCCCTAATGTTAGATCATTAGGGCTTACCACTCGTAACTCCTGAACATCTGACTGAAGCCGTGGTGCTGCCCAGATTAAGGTTGTGACTGCCTCGATCATTCCTTCATCACAGAATCTAACATTATCAAAGAAAAAGTATTAAATTAAACTTCATAATTCATTTTGGGTTATGATAACTAAAGAAATGGTACAGAAGCATTCAAGCCTTAATTGGTGTGTACCTAAACAGAGGGAGTGGTAAGGAGGTCTCACAAGTGGCCACAATAGTGTGTGGGTATCCAGCTTCGACTGAAATCCTTGGTAACAAATACTCAATCATATCTGTGACAAAATACTTTTGGAACTTAATGCAGGCATAAATTACTGGGTTATAAAGAGGCTGTGAATAAACACACCTGCACATGAACTTATTACCATGAACACCCTATAAATGATTTAATAGTGTTATGCACATTCAGGGTTGTTAGTTATTCAGGGTTTTGAACTTGCAACTGTTCACAGTATGTTATCGTATCAAAATAAGCTTTAATTTGTAACCTAAAATCTTCATTACAGCTCTTTTAGTGTGTGTAATAAGAAGCATTTTGTACTCACTGTTGGGTCTCAATTAAACCAAATCTGGCCAACAGAAGATCACAGAACAATTCTAACATCTCCATTGCTTCAACTAAATAGTCTTCTCGGATAATATGCTCCACCTTGGAAACATACAGCCATGAATACCATCAAATGAATTTTTTACAGACACATCCAGTTTGTAGAATAGAAAAAGAGAGATGATAAGTTTTTGAGCTCGGTAAAGAAATAAAAAAGATGTTTTTCATCTTGTCATGAGCGTAGGACATTAAGTAAACATTCTGAGTCCCCATGAAGAAATGAACCTCAGACCTTTGGATAACGCACTCCGATGCTCTACCACTGAGCCACAGAGACTCTACGGTGAGTGAGGTCTATTACGAAGTTCATATAACACTGGTCCTGCACACTTTTAGGATCAGCAATGTCAATAGCATCATGTTTGTAAATAAAATAAGAGAGATGGTAAATTTTTGAGTTCAGTAAAGAAAGGTTCAAGGTTACGAAGTTCAAATGAAGTCCACATGAAGTTTGTCTTGACAAATAATTTCCGAGCCTGAGGTTTGTCAGAGGTTTGCTCCTTTACTCATGAGGGAAGCCATTGTTATATGCACACTTATTGTGTATGCATTTGCATGTCTAGTTAGTGGTTCAACAAAAATGTACAAAACATTGCAGATCTTGGAATATTTTTTTATGATTTTACCCTACATGTTTCTTGAAATCTTTGCAGTATTTTTAATAATTACATCCAAGGTCAAGAGAATTATTTTAGGATCTTAACCCTATAACTCCCATGAATGACCAAGACAGAATTTCTCCTAACAAAATCGCTACAATATTAAGCAGACAAGCGGGAAGAAAAAAGACAAATATCAACTGAGGGATTATTAGTTGATCCAATACCAAATTCTTACACCTAGCATCGGAGGAATTGTATGTCAGACAGTAAGGAGAATTACTAATAAGAACTTGGGTATGAAAGGGTTACAGGATGGGTAACAGTGGCTCAGTACCATTATTAGCAAATTCAGATTTAAAAGATTTTAAATTAAAAACTTTAAATAATGTCCACTTCTATTTAAGTATTCTAGTAATGCCTAATGGATATTACTTTGGTCAATCTGAACTGCGGTATAGGATGTCTGCCAATAAATCTGTTTTTCAGGATCAATCAGGATCTAATGGTGGTTATTTTGTCAACATTTCAAAAAGAATATCTCCAGACAGGGTATATCCCAACTGACAATGATGGTATTCAAAGAGAAAGGCCCATTGATTTTGATTCGCCATGAGAATAAGACTAGCACAATAAATCTAAAGAAATGTCTACTGTTCAATAGCTAACTGGTTACTGTTAAGTGAAATTAAGAAGATATAAATTCTTCTCCACTGCACATTACATTTGATACATCAAATGCAAGTCATTAGCCAATTTGGTGACATTAGCAAAAGTACAGAGGTTAGGTTTCAGCACAGCCCCATACTATTGTAGAACAAATCTGTTTTCCCAATGGCAATGTATTTTTTTTGTCATTGTTTTCTCTATCCAAGAACTGAATGCATAATGTCGGATGGGGCTATACGGAAATTTTACCAAGTGAAGATTATACTATAATAGTATTCACTTATGAACGCTCTAACAAAACCAAGAATGTGGATGGAACGCTTGATCCAAAATCTTATGTCATTGGAAAATTAAAATAAATTAAACATTCTCAAAGAAACTTGAATTCATTTGTGTGGCAATGTGTTAAGTTTACTCACTCTAATTCTCGCTCTTTCCTCTTTTCCATTGTTTATATAATCAGCGATTTCTTTCCTTGCTTTCAGTGCCAATTCCGCTGTAAGAGAACACAGAAAAATTACTCTGGACCTCAATGCGTTCTATTATGTATGTACGAGGTCTAGAATATTGTTCAGTTAGATTCTCTTCCATTGCATAGAGTCATTTTAAATTAGATTGCGATGGGATAAAAGCATCTCCAAAAACACTAGAAAAAACTTAATAATTGCAAAGAGAGTATGAACTTGCGAAATGTCAAGGAAAACGTCAAGGATTCAAACTCACTCTTTTTCTTTTCCAGAAGTTTGAGTCGGTTAATGGCCAGCTTTAAATTCACCTTAAGTTTCTGCTTGCTAAACCCTGAACCAAGCATGATTGGAGAAAGGAAAAAAAGTAGAGTATTCAGCTGTTTTCAAATCGTACAAACTCTAAAGTATGACCACGGATCATCGCTAAATATACTAACCCATTTTGAAATGCTTTCAATTCGCCATATTAAAATACGTAATGTTGCTGTTTTTAGAGTTGACCGCCACTAGTTCCCAGGACTCTCTCTTTCCAAGATTCACAACGAGACAAAAATAAATTTTGGTTGCTATGGGAGGGGTAGTTTAGGTGACGATGTTTGTAAAAAGTATACCCACCCTACCCTGAGGAAGAAGGTTTGGTCGTGCGTCAGAGCGTAAACAAAGGTTGCCTAGAAACGAGTACACAAAAGAGAGTCAGCCATTTTGAGAAAGTAAGTCGGTGTGATCGAAGATAGTTTGTGTGGAAAAGTCGTCCTATATTCGAGGAACAAAATGCCTAAAAAAGCCAAGAAAGCGAAAGGAGGAAAAGGAAAGAAAGGAGGGTACGTTTTGTTGCCATAAATCACGACAGATTTACGCTTTTGCTTATTCAGTTGTCAGCTCTAGCCCGGACGATTGGAGCTGGGAAAACAGTGCCTTTCTTCTTGTACTTAGTACACTTGCGTCTGTCATTAATTCGGTATGAGAGGCACATAAGTTTCTTTGAGTTTCTTATGAAACTTAACGCTAGTAAACTTTCAATCGATCTCAGATCAAAACATGTGAAGAGGAATTACAGTATGATAAAGGGGGTAAACTTCTAAAGAACTGTGTTGATGCGTGATGGGGGGAGAGTATAGCAGGGTAATTTAGTGCTATCAACTGAGTTGAAAACGTAAATTGGCCACTGTAAAGAATTCAAAGGCTGACGTCTCGAGCGTTAGCCCTTCGTCAGAGCGATTCGTCAAATCGATTCGTTAGCCAATCTGACGAAGGGCCAACGCTCAAAACGTCAGCTTTGTTTGGCACTATTGGACATGATAAAAATTTGTTTTGATTGAATGAACCATAAAGAGTCTTCTACATGAACTGAGTACTTAAGTTATATCAAAGTATGCCAATGGATACAAGCACGGTATAAATTAAATTTTCGCTACGAGATCAAGTTAGAATTACATGTAAGTGAGAAACTATATTATGGTGGAACATGTATGGATATGAACTTGAGTATGTTTGGTTGATTAACAGGAAGAAAGGTAAAAAAGAAGGAAAGAAGTCCAAGAAGGAATCAGTTCTCAAAGATGCGATGGCTAATGCCAAACTGTGGGAAACTAAATTGGAAGCTGTGGAAAAATCTCGACAAGAATACAGGTAAAACTCATCAGTGACGTTTCCATAACCTTTTGATAGTGTTTGTATAATATACAAATAGTTTTTTTGCAAAGCTTGTGGTGTCCTTTGGATATATGCTGTATCAATGTGGGTAATTTTACACAATAATTTGGTTTTAACAACTGAGTTGATAATTCTTATTGGCCAGTCTGTAAAGAAATTCTAAAATTTGACTTTTTGAGCATTAGCCCTTTGTCAGAATGTAGGACCAATGTTCAAAGGGCTTGGGATGTAGCTTTGAAAATTTTGCTGGAATGTTATTGGGCCTAAAGGTGATTTATTTGCATGACTCCCATGCAATAACTGCTCTGAGTGCCTGATAACTGATTAAGAGACAGTTATATTGTGAATTTATAGGATTGCTGTTTGCTGCATCTTCAAATCCCCTATCTCCTCCTCAGCCCTTCAATTTTTCTTAGAGCACAGTCTTGACTGTTAACAATTAGCATGTTCTTCAGGTAGATACCTTTTATTTTTAAAATGTATCCATTTGAATTAAAAATTATTTTTCAAAACAGAGAAAATGCCAAGCGCTTGGTGTATGAGAATGATATCTTACAAATGCAAATGGCAAGCACTGAGAAGGACACACTGGATGTTATATCTTATCTAAAACAAGAAGACAGCAAGAAAGATGATCAGGTATTAAATCGATAGCTTCTGTCCAGAAAAACTAGTCAGTAAGTTTTATGGCAAAGATGACATAGTCTCGTAACAGGTCATCTTTAGCAAATTGCTTTAATTTTTTTCCTCCAGTACAAAATGTTTTGCTCTGACATTCAACAAATTGGACATCAAATGCAGCTGTCAGAATCAAAATTCCTGCCATAATTTTAAGTTGATGTTCTGTTAAGGAAAAGGCTAAAGATTGATGTAGTTTTAATTTATTTCATGTGCAATTAAACACATTCTTCTTAACACTAATTGTTCACTAAATTTAGTAACATAATGGCTATGATTTACATGCAGAGTCTTTATGCCATAATTTCAGGTTTCCAAGCTTCAGCAGGCTCTAAAGGAAGTAAAGAGGGAGGCAAGAAAAGAACGGCAAGCTCTTGTGAGTAATATACAATGTATTTTGGCTTGAAGAGAAAAAAAAAAAATACTGTCATCTGGAAACTTGTCAGTGTGATCCAAAAAGTGCTATGTATGGAGCTGACTGAGACACAACAGTCTTAAACCAATCAAACTAATTTTCTTTCTGGACCAAAACAATATAATGACTACAAGAATGAAACAAGAGCATCATTTCTTTACAGCGATATTGGTATACGATGTACAATGTTACCATTATATCCTTTTCTGCTCCATGAGGCACATGCAGTGTACAGTACATGTATGAAGACTTCATTTGTATTATTGTAGATTTTCTGTTAGATCTTGTATAGTGACGCATTGACTGCCAACCAACTGTTGCTATTAGCTACAAATATATTGTTTCTGAGAAAAAAATTAATTTTGTTTATGACACTCTTATACTGTAGGTTGACGAATATTCACAGCAGATTCACCAACTGCAGGAATCTCTGGCAGAGAAGACCAATGAGGTGAAATTTTTTTAAACTTTTTACTTTTCATTAAAAAATATATATATTTTTCAATAAATTATTGTTAATTATTGTTTACATGCACTAAGTATTGTTTTCCAAATAAAGTTAAGGTTTTCCCCTTTGTTTGTCACATAGTGCTGAAACAGGGGACAATCAGAGTACTTTCAAACCAATTTAGCCTCGAGTCATTAAAAACTACAACATACATTTAAACTGCATGTATATACATGAGTTTTAATAAGTTTTGAACTTCTTGTTAGGTGAAACTGATGCAATCTGAGCTAAAACTTGTGAAGGAATTCAGACGGAAGAGAGCCCAGATGCAGCGGGAGCTAGATGAGGTACAGGCTTTTTTCCTCTGTCTTTAAAGATGTGAAAATGTAATTTACTATTAGTAGTGTTGTATCTTAGGGACAGAAATCAATCAACAGATCTCATCCTTTAAAGATCCTGTGTTTGATTTTTATTGCAACTACTAGAAAGGGTGATGTACATTGTACAACAGTTTAATAGCTTCTCACTGGCTAATTTTCAATTATTGAATGAGACTTAACAATTTAAAATGTCTTTTCCAATTATGTATAACATCCTCTTTTATATGTCAAGTAGGTCAGTTACCTGGCTCCACATGCAAATCCCCCATATGCTGTCTTGAAACAGTTGGCACCTCAATTTGGGCAAAAAAACATTACTTGATTAAGGCATGTGTGTCCCTGTAGTTCCTAATTGATCAACTGATTGCCAAAAAGTGGAAATATAAGTGTGACTCTTGGCCTTTCTGCACCAGCAAAAAAGTTGTTTATTTAGACAAATCTTTTTTCATCACCAACATTTAACAAGTGCAGATGGTTTGTCATGACTTAACAAATTTTGGCTGAAGTGGACAAATCTTCAAATCCACGTTGACAAAACTTGTCCTAGGTATTAAAACTGGACAAAATGGACTAAATAAACAAAACCATAATAAACTTGTCAATAATTTGTTATAAAAGCTATAACCAGCATGTATTGAAATGACATCAGTGTACTAGAAACTAAGGCAAAAATTGTCTTTGCTGCAAAACTCTGGGATTCTAAAACTTTTGAACAACTCAGGATAAATCCTGGAAATTGGAGGTGGAATCCTTTGCCAAACTATGCTGGTTGGTCTTATGAATAGATCAGGTGCTGGCAGGATTTGACAAATTTGAAATTTTCTAACACAGATGCAACAGCTGAAACAAAAATTTTCTTGGACAAAATTTGTTTTTTATTTTGTCAGGAAAATTCTTGTTTTGTCTGCTTTTGTGAAAAGGCTCTTTGTGAGGTTAAATTTGAATTCTGGGCACAATCTGTAGTTGAATTGTCTGCACAATATCTCTTTGGAGTCTTGAAATGAGACAAGTGCCTGTACTGTCCAAGATCTCATTAGTAATTCTTTTCACTGTCTGCCATAGATTACTTAAGATGCTACTTCTGGAAATTTGATACTGGATCAACTAGAAAATCCTCAAACTTATATTTTTCTTTATTCTCATCACTTGTCTGATTGATATTGTATTGATATTGTGAGGAGAAATTCTGTCTTGGTCACTCATGGGAGTAAAAGGATAACCCCAAATATTCATTTTATGGTGAAAAAATTAATGAGGTTTTTGGAGCAGAAGTTCTCAATCAAAACAAAAAATTTATTTCTCTTGTAATTAGATAAAGGAGAGCATGTTTGCTACTGAGAGACACCACAAGGACACTTTGCAACAAATGGAACACAAGTTTTTTGAAGAAAAAGTTCGATTACAGCAAGAAGCAAGTAAAAAGATTGCAGAACTTGCAGAGAGAGCTCATTCAGAGGCCATCAGGTAAAAACATTTATTTTGCAAGGACACATGGACTAATTGTAGGTAGAGGAGGTGTATTTGACCTCCTTTGGTTGGATAAAGTCATGATAAAGTTACTGTTAGTAATTGTATGATCTTTAAAAGGTAAAATAATAATAATAATAATAATAATGATGATGATGATGATAATAATAATAATAATGATAATAATAATAATGATAATAATAATAATTATAATAACGATAATAATAATAATGATAATAATAATAATAATAATGATCATAATAATAATCTTACAAGGATCTTTTTGGGAATTTTTGCAAGATCTGTGCAAGGATCCGTCAAGATCCTCAAGGACCTTAAGAATTTAATGAAAGTCTTTCCAAATTTGCGTTGATTTCGGGAAACATTACATCTTGTGAGCTGTTCTAGAAGTCGTAGTTCCAGCGTACTGCTATTGATAATACTTACAATTAAGTTTAAGCCATTCTTACGTTTGAATTCTTAGTAATCTTGAT